GTTTGGGGGGGAGCTTGATTGTTGCCCTGCACCACCACCACGGCCACCTCCACCACCACAACTGCCGACTACACAGCGACTTCCCCTATTCACCACCAAACCATCACCACCACCACTAGCACCACCACGAGCCGCCACCATCACCCCAGATCCACACGCGCCCCCACACCTTCTGCAGCAGGAAGCCGGCCACCGAGGGCTTCAGGTACTTGGTCACGCCCTCGGTGGACGCGTGCGCGCGGTGCGCAGTGCCGAACGCGTCGTTCACGTACAGGTCAGCGTTGGCCGCCAGCTGGCGGGTGCGGGACGGGCGGTACGAGGGTGGGGCGAGTGAGTGTGTGCTGGGCTGATGGGTGCGGATGGGATATCTGATGGAGGCCTGGGGGTGCGACCAGAGGTTGCAGCGCGCTCACGGAGTTTTGTTACTTGACTGCAACACAAGGGTCACAGCAGCGTCGCGCTTCGCAGCGTGCAGCCCACAACACCCACAGCACCACATGTGAGGCGCAATCGTGTAAATACGCCAACTCATACTGTGCATGTGCCGGCATACCGCTGTTCCAGCCCCTGCACCGTCCGCCCTGACCCTTGCACCTTCTCCCCCCTCCCCCTGCCCCTTCACATGCTTGCTGGACACATGCCTTGTGCAGATGCATGCGTGCATGCATGGGTACAACCCCTCCCCTAAATCACACTCTCGCACCTTCTTGGCGAACTCGGCCTCGTTCTTCTCCTCCTCCTTGTAGAACCGCACGTTCTCAAGCAGCAGCAGCTGCGGCAGCGGCAGCATCAGATGTGATCGGCGAGTTGGATCAGCACGAGCACATTCTCATGCATGACGATGACGAAGGCGCTGAGACTGATGCATGCCCGCGTGGTGGGAGCATGCACGCCGGCGCATGGGCAGAATGCATGCCATGCGAAGCATGCGGGGGGTCCTGCGTGTGCTGCTCCAGCCGCACGCAAGCCGATGCAGAAAGCGTGCGGAAGCATGGTCGCCTCAAGCATGGCGACCAAACTAGGGGATCCGCCACCAATGCGTCGCGCGGCGCATACCCCTCCCCTCCCCCGGCGCGTCAACCATTCAAACCCTCCAAGCGCACCTCGCCGTTCTTGGCGTCGACGACCGCCTTCTCCACCTCAGCGCCGATGCAATCGTCCAGCTTGGTCACCTGTCAGGCCGAAAATTCAAATTGTCCCGTTCTGTTCTTGTCGGCCTCAGCAGGGCAGGATGGGGCCTCACTTGTCCAAGCACTCTGTGCAAGTGCTGCCATCACCACTGCTCCGAAAAAAGGAGCAGCCCTGCGCGATCAAGGCCCTGCTGCTCTATGGGGCGGCAGACCGAGCTGCCGGCGCGCCGGTCCGCTGGCAACTGCGAGGCTGACCAAGGCTTGAGCTCACCGGCTTGCCCAGCAGCTCGGACAGGCGCGGCGCCACGGGCGTCAGGCGGAACCTGAAGGGGAGAGGGCGGACGCAGGGTGCGCCGGGGTCGCTAACAAGCCGCCCCTCGGCAAATTCCAGCCACGCCCGTCAGCGTGGCACCACCATGCACGCGTCGGCCGCTCTCCGCACGCATGGGGCACACGAACAAAGATCCAGGCAGCCATTAGAACAGCTGAGTGGCGGGGGGGATAGTTGAGGGGCATGGCGAGGGGTACTCACTTGTCCTCAGGGCCCGACTTCGGGCGGCCCTGCAATCAGGAGAGCGGGGCGCCACAGTATGTGACAACAGGGTCAAGGGAAGCGTTCCGCACAGGCCAGGCCATCCCTGCAACAGACCTGCAAATGTGTTTGGTGCCCCATGCACCCTTCACACATGGCCGCGTTCATGGACATCCCCACGGCCCCCTGCCCCCCCGCGGGGGCGGCTTGCGGCCTCGAGGACTGGGGAGCCTTTTCCGACCGGGAAGTTCCCGCTCACCAGGTGGGAAGTGAGCAGCACCTTGGCGCCGTTGTCCAGGAGGTACTTCAGGGTGGGCACCGCCGCCCTGAGAGCGGAGGGGGGGGTGTCACCGGGGTGTACGAGTCAGGCGCCCAGCAAAGCCGTAGGTAAGTGGGATGAGGGGCAGTAATAGGGGAGGAGCACATGTTCAAATGTGAGCATTCAAGGCATGCTTGTTGAAGTGGTGGATGGTTGGACGTGAAGAACCACTACATATAAGGCGCACAAGGGAGAAAGCGCATGCACGCGTCGTCCGTCTTCTTTCTGTGTGCTCGCACATAGCATGGTCGCCGCACATACACGCATGCATGAAGAGCCATGTGTTTTCCCCCGAGCGGACGGGCGGACGGGCGGGCCGGCGGGCCGGCGGGCCGGCGATGGGGTAGCGGGCGAGAGAGGCAGGCGCCAGCGCCGCCTTCGTTAGCCCCACCTGATGCGGGTGTCGTCGGTGATGGCCAGGGTCTGCTTGTCAAGCGGCACATTGAGGTCCGCGCGCACAAACACGCGCTTGCCCTCGAGGTCGTCCTTTGGATTGGGGGTGGGGGTGGGCGCATGAGGGGTCTTGTTTGGCTGGCCGGGGCAAGATCGACCGGGGCGGCAGCACGGACTGTGCCTTTGAGTGGCGGCATGCAGCGCTCGCCACAACGGCGCCGCGTGAGGATGGTCATTTGAGTCGTACGGCAGTGCAGAGCGGGCAATTGGCCCAATGTGTGGGCATTGCACAGCGCTGGGCGGGCGTGCGCCCACCACCACCATGAAGGGGGCAGAGCCCCAGCGCATGCGCCTGATGTGGCACACGCACATGCTCCGGGGTTGAGATCGGACAGCAGTCAAGGCCCGGCCGCTAAGAACGCATACATTTGGCTGACTGAGCGATGCCTTGGAGTCCCGGGCAGCGCACCTTGGTGAGATCGCCCACAGACTTCTTGGCCGAGAGCACGACCAGCTTGCGAGGGCGCACGACATTGCTCCGCAGAGCAACGCGGCGGCCACCAGCCACCCGAGAGGACGCGGGAGCGCGGACGGTCTGCATGTTTGCAAAGGAGATCGACCGAGAGTGCTTTGACGTGAGGATTGGCAGAATCTAGCTGCCAATTGTTGCCTGGGAGAACGGCAAAAGGTGCACAGCGTACGGATGCAGTCGGGTAAGAGGCGTCCATCAAGACGTGAGGCACTCGGGTGTCCGCGGGCACGGTGCAAAGGCGCTGGCGGCGCTAGCGGCGGCGTGCGCGCCCCATTCGCACCCTCGCCTCAATTTAGAATGCAACAAACATCTCTAAAGGGTTTCAGGGCTCCGGACCGATAGCGGGGCGTGGCAGCGGGGTGGGATATTTGCGACAAAAATCGCTGGCCCTGCCGCCGCCCCCACAATCCTCGAGGCGTACGAAGCCACACCTGCCGCATCCTCCAGACCGCCGCATTGAGCATACCATAAGTCATGGCGCTTGTGTCTCAGCTCGACCTTTTTTCTCCTATGCAGCCGCACTGACCCGTGCCGTGACGCGCGCGTCAGATCTGTTTGGAGCTCTGATCAAGTCGGTTTGCTCTGCTGGTGCAGCCATGCGCTGCCTGACGCAAGTGCGGTGCAGGCGCTAGTTGAGTTGACCAGGCCCATGGTGGTGACCCATGTCCGTGGTGGTGGCATCTCACCTCAGCACAGTTTTGCTGAGACTGGCGTGATCTACGTGCACAGGTGGTGGCAAGCTGCGAGGTTTTTCTGGGGATTTTTTGATTGAGCAGGCCCTGCCGTTGGCTGCCTGCTACGTGGGCATTGTTCTCGAGCCTGGCTGGCTGCTGCAGCAGGAAGGGATGGGTGGCGTGCATGTTGCGTTTGTGCTGGGGCGGCGGGGTGACCGGCGGCAGCAGCCCAGGGGGTGGCCACCGCGCTTTACTGCTGAGCTAGCTCCGCTGCCGCAGCCAGGGCCGACAAGCGCGCATAACAGTGACGCGCACGCATTTTGTGAAGCGTCGCTCGCACGGGCGGGGTCGGCGGGAACCATGATGGGGAGCGTTCAGACCAGCTGTGCGAGTCAGCATGGTGACATCAGACCGTGTGGCGCGCTGAGTCGGCGGCCGCCAGGCGGCCGGGGCCCAGCGGCCGTATGTGCGGTCAGGCGATTGACGCAGAGATCGATCGATCAATCAGTGCCTGTCCATCCATCCAGTGCCATCATGAGAAGCGTGTCCCTGATTCTGAGCCACAGTTGCGGGTCTCCCAGCGGCCGCCGCCCACGGCACAATGTTCCTCTCCCCGCACAAGGAGCCTCCAGGCAGACATCGCAGTCAACTTGGATTTCGAAAAGCAATTGTCGTGCAATGAACCGGAGAGGTCGGGGCCAGCTCCCGATTTTCCTGTGGGCCGCTCGCACATTGCACGCAGTTGTGGTGTTTTGTTCGCTCCCTTGGTTTTCCTGTTCAATCTTGTTGAATCAAAGTTGTATGTTTCTTCTTTCAAGAGCCCGATCCTTGTGAATACATGTTCAAGCAGCTCAGCCCCGGCGCACACCGCTGCCTTGTAGCTTTGAGGGCTCCGTAGTGTTCATATAGTCACATAGGATCTATTGCAGCCCGCGGACACGATCGGGCGCCGCGCTGGTGCGTGCCGGGCGGAAGACATCTGCCCGCTTGAACTGCGGCCAGGGCAGTCGATCGCGACCGGGGCGCCGAGCGTGCCTTATGTGGGATTTTCTCACGTCTCTGGAACATATGTCCGCGGGACGTCGGGTCGTCGCGGGGCGCAGATGCAGCTTGCGGCTTACCGGCGCCTGCATGCCGGTCCTTGTCAAGGACGCGTCGATCGGTTTTCAGGGCTTGTATAGCATGGTTTTGGGGATCCCCACCGGCCGCTAGGGCTGCTGCGCAAACCCCGGCTCCTCGCACTTGCCCTGGTGACACCCCTCCCGCTCGTCGCAGGGCCCAACGCAGCCCCCTTATCAGGGCCTCGAGATGCAGGTGAGCGTGCTGGAATGGCCTGCGGGGGCGTGGCCAAGGGGTGCCGGAGCCTTGGTCGCACCTTGGTCCCGGGGATCGTGCTGAGCGGCCTCAGCCAGCAAGTCCTTTGCTGCCAGCACTCGGGAACATGTATCTTACGGCTTCATCTCGGTCGCAGAGGCCGTGCAGCTCATGTTGGCGACTGGCTGCTGAGTCGCCCCATGCTGCGCCTGCCGCGCGTTCCGTCGACCCCGCTTGCCCCCCCTTCGCGCCACCGCCACGCCCCGCAGTCTTTCCAGGATCGTTACGTGCTCCTGGTGGACACGTCTGAGATGGATAGCGCACGCAGCGACCTCAGCGAGACCGTCACACATGAATTTGTGCGGCGCCCTGGCACCGGCCGCCGGAAGCAGCACGCCCCGTGGCGCTCGCCTTGGGATGCAAGTGAGTTGTGCAGGCGTGCGTTCATGTGCATGCGTGTGTTTGCGCACGCGTGTGTCAGTATATGTGTGTGGTTGGAAGCGGGGAGAACACACACCCGAGATGCCAGGCGAGACGAACAGGTGCTTGGTGCCCCGCCGCTGGCGCAGATCGATCACAGATGGCGAAGCGATCCCGCGCTGACTCGGACGCCCCCGCCTCTTCCCCCCATCCAGGCGTTTGCACCGTATTTGCCAACCTCCCCGCGGCCTGCGGTGGACCCCTAAAGAACGGCCTGCTGCCCGCCGGCGCCGCCGCCGCCGCCGCTGCGGCCGCCGCCGCTGCCGCCGCCGCGGCCGCCGACTGCCTCACGCCCTGCAGCCTCGCCCCGACGCCGGGCGGTGGCGGCGGGGG